CACCAAACTACAAAGGCAACTGATGGGAGAATCGCCTGTTAGGTAACTCAGCAGAGGTTTCATGCTGAAGGTTCTGTTACATAAACATACATAATGAGTGCTTTTCCCTCTTATACCAACAGTTGTCTTTTACATTGTGAAATCATTATTATATTAACTTTTCATACAACAGCTCAAATTAAGTTGCAAAACAGAGATCAGATTTGCAATAAACATTCTCTGTACCTCTACATCCAGAAAACTTCTCGGCTGGGCTTGACACAACATATTTAGCAACTGGAGAATCAGCTCCTCCACGTACTGCAACGCATCTTCGGTAGAGGAGAGCTTAGGATGGACTTGCACCTGAACCTGAACAAAAGAGAAGAATTTATGAGTTATTTTTGCTCTTATCCAAACATGCAAATATTATGACGTAAGGATGAGTAGAACAGCTCAGGTAACTCCTTTGAGGAGTGCGTGTGCCATACCTCTGCTAAGGCGCACCGCGCAGAACTGAAATGCTCATTTACACTTGATAGAAACAGAAACCTCAAATGTTTAAACATACCCAAACTGCTGCAATATTTAATGTCAGAAACCACCTAATTAATAACGGTGTTCAGAAGTGCAGTTAGGAAAACTCTTCAAAAACACTGCCCACTGGATCTTTCTCCCCTAGCTCTTCACACCGTTGTGTGCAGGATATACGTCAGGCACGGCGCTTCCTCCCTTTTCACAACCCCCTGCCCATGCACCACTCAAGCTACAACACAGTAATACACAAAACCTTTTGCAAAGCGAGAGCCCTGCAGAAATAGAAACAACCCCAGCAGCATTTAGCCAACAAATCGTCCAATCCATTCTCAACAGGCCCTTGTTAAGTAAGGCTGGCTCAGAAGTTTGCTTCCACGCTCCTTGTTTTGATGTCAGGCTCTAGTTTAGAAGGAAGAATGGGAACACTTGAAGTAGGCCGTGGTCACACTGGCATTCAGCAGCATGAGGCTTTTGAAGTTCAGTCCCCACGCATCTCCACACATGCCACCAGTGTCTGCAGGTTCTCCCCGGGGCAAACCCACAGAGACACGCTCCTGCTCAGCTCCCCCAAGGGGTCAGCTTACCCATGTATTTTTCCAGACGGTCATTTAAACTTCCACAGCCAGTTTGTGGGGACAGCTTTTCTTTGCATCTCTGCAGTGAACAGAAGCACAATTTTAACCCTTTGGAAATTCAGGCGTGCAAAGCTCACCACTCCAAGAGCCTAAAATTGACAGGCAGTTGAATCTCAGTCCTGAACACTGGTGGCAAATATTATGGCAGAGCACAGCAGTTGCTGACTTTCGCAATGCTTTTCAAGCCTTCATTTCATCATTTTACCATTCCCACTGCATTCAACTCAAAACGTCTCCAGTTCTCCCAATCGCTAACAGAATAACAGAACCACCTTAAGCCAAAACTCGACAATTTGTCTCATCCAAATATTAAGCCTATGTCTATACTCAAATTCTGCTGCCATAATTATTTAATTTCACAGCTGAGTTCTCGTTCCTATTTGCAGCCATAGCAAGAATTAAATGTTACGAAGTTCAAACACACAACAGCCTCAAATAGAAATCCACTTGCTCGCTAAGGCACTCATTAGTTGGAGCACTTCATGTCTAGGCACAGCCCCGCCACTCACAGAGCTGTTACTGAGAATTAAACGTGCCCGATCACGGGTTTAGCCTCTGCAGGTTGCATACCCTGATGCATTACGTCCTAAAAAACACCTCCAACATTTACTGCTTTTTAACTTGAAAACATGGGCAGAAATAGAACAGGCGAAGCTCTCCCTAAGGGGAGCGTTTTGATTATGCCAATGGTTTCATATTCCCAGTAACACACAGCACACTGCTGGAGGCACCCGGGGAACAGCGCGCCCAGCGGCCCCCAGCACGGCCTACCATTCAAGCACTGCAGCCTGACACACCGTGCCATCCCGGGGCGGTCTCACATCACAAATTACAGGCTTGCAGAAAAAATTCTCTTAAAGATCAACAGGTCTAAGCTGCCTACAAGATGCCCTCTTGTTGTTTTTCTTAGGTAGATCTGAACATATTCACATTAGGTTAGCCCTACAGGTTACTGCACTGTTCTGTATTTTGAAAATACTAAATTACCAAGTCAAGCAGACAGTAAGAATACGTAACATGATAAACCTGAGCAATGAGAAGCCGCTCTGCTTTCTCCCTTGCTTACAAAGCAGATGGCAGACTTCAAACCCTTTCTGTCTGTAAATCTATAGGAATAAGAACAAACAAATACCACATCAGGCCATGACCTGAAACACTATCCACAGTCAGCCAAAGCAGAGTCAACAACGATAACCTATTCCTAGTTCAGGAGATAAAGTTCCAAACATTTTTTTATGTTTGGGGAGCAGTTACATCACTCTCCTTGAAGGCCGCCGTCCTCAGGCACCACTGAGCTGTGCCAGAGCAGAGCACGAGGTGCCGCGGGTCGCCAGCACTGTTTATCTCTGTTAGAGAGGCAGTAAAAGTATAGCAATGAAGCTGAAGTGAGATTTAGTATCGTTTAGGGTTCAAAGTCATACAAGCAAAAGCAAGAAAACAATCGGTCCAACAAGCAAAATGAAAGGAGATCCAGGTGCACAAGGGGCGCAAAGCATGTCATCTGAAGCATGGTGGCACCAAGGCTGGGCCCGGGCTGCCCGCACTGAGTGCACTGGTCAGCAGGCTCAGGAGTGCGATGCGAGACGGGCAAGAGGCAGGATTTGGTGAGAAGGCATGAGCAGTGAGAACACCTGCTAGAGGCTCCGCCACATGGCTGAGTCCCAAAGAGGAGACTGCCCTGCTGGGGAAAGGGGAGGAGACTTCAATCCTCCTGACAGGCAGCTCAGAGTCAAAATTAGAACAAGAGGGCCACCCCACCCTCCAGAAAGGCCCACCACAGGAGCACACCCGATAAACACAGAGAAACAACTTCTGAAGTGTAGCGATGTTTAGATAAGATTCTTATCTGCACATTTCACCTCTCCCTTCAATACTGGCAGAACCCATCCCTCCCTCCCACACGCACGCACCAAAACATCTATCTTGCGATAAGGGAAATTACCACAAGAACAGCCTATAAACATCTTTTGACAAAAGCTTCAATTCTTTGAGATACCTCAATAAACCCTAGTGGGCCAGCACAAGTGAGAGCAGCTAGAAGACCCTGCCCCCCCTGCTCAGCTGTAACTCAGTTCATCCGATTGCTTTTTTCTCTGGCCCGACACAACAGTACCGAACCTGGTCACAAGATAACCCCAAACGAAGCCTAGGCTGACATTCAGCAGTTTATTCTGCCCTACAGAGGTGTTTGACAACACGGAAGAAGGGAAGACTCGCACAATAAGTTTGACAAACTAATACTAAACCAAGCTTCCTCTGCAACAATTTTCAGTTACCCCTTCCTCATGCCTCTGAGAGCAAAGGCCAAATGTACACCCAGTGTGAAGCTGAAGCATTTCAGCTTATGGCAAAAAACACTTCATTGTGTGTATGAAGACTGCCTAGAACTACACAGAACTGCCTCCCATCACAAGCAGCAGAAGCTTCAGAAAGATGCACAACAGAAGAGCATCACCCTAAGCTAAGTAATGACCCAAAACAATCTACTCCTGGATAAAGAACAGCACTTCCACATCCAGGTCAGACTGCCCATCTACTGGGGTGTGACAAGAAGGCAAAGCAGCCACCAAACACCCACATGTGTTGAAGCACGAGCAGCTTCCTTGCCAAGCAGGGGTACCACTGCACTGCCAGTCTTGCTGGTGGCAGCTGAAGTGCTTGCAAGGAAGCAGTTGAAGGAAAAACACTGTATTGAACACAGCATCTTGTTAATAAAATGGAAGAAGCTGCAGTGAGACGACAGACTGCATAAGAAAAGAGAGAGTCATTATCTTTCCCTGCCTGCTTAGATAGCAAATATTCTACTGCTGTTGGAGGGGGAATCTATGATTTTCCTTGCACTATCACATAGTGGAAAGAGGCAAGGCGTCTGGCACTTCTCCCAAATCAAAGACCAAGCTGTTTTCCAAAACACAGGATGAGACTCAACTGATTAAAAGCATTTTTCTAAGACAAAAATACAAAGGGTAGAAGCAGAAAATACAGACCTTGGCAGATAGGTTATTATTAGAAGCAATTTGTTAACAGAGCAGGCTTTTTCTTTTCCCCCACTTTGGTTGCTTTTAAAGTCTTAACAACTATTATAACCTTATTTCCACTGAAGCAGCTTTTGTTAACGTTCCCTATGACAAAACCAATGACAACTATATTCCCTATGACAAAAACCACTGACAAGCAGCTGCTTATCACTAAAACACTCTGGGATCAAATACTTTAGGGACAGCTCGCGTGACTGAGTGTCCTCATAGAGCAAATACTCCACAAAAACTGTGTTCTTCTTGTACTCTTTGCCAACAGTCAGCAATCCCGCCCATGTGGTGCTGTCACCTCGATCAATTAATTCAGTAAACTAACCCAAGCACAGAGGTCTTAAATCCACACTTCAGCACCTTAACTTTATTCTGCACAGCCATCCAGAGCACAGAGAATCCAAAGCTACTGAGAATTAATCAGGCCCTACACCTGCAGCAAGGCGCTGCCAACAAGAACTACCACCACTCTGAGCGAAGAGCAGCAATTGGACTGCCATGGGTTCAAAGAATAAGGTAATTAAGAGGCAGGCAAAAATGTTTTTTGTCAGCCACAGCTTCCTGAGCACTCTTTAGTCACTTCGGGAACTCTGCTCATCTCTTTTCTCTATGGAAGGTATAGAAGAGTGACTATGCGATACATTGAATACGCACAAGCTCGCTACCTACAACACTCCCCTTAGCTGAAGCAGCAAATCCTCTTCAGCTGTTAAACCACTTCAATCCAATCATTTTGACCACAATGAATTCCAATGGCACCCCTTATTAATTGCTACACAGATTCAGATCAACTCCAGGTACTCAAGCAGGGGAGTATCTGTACGGTACGGACGTTCTTTATTTCTCTAAATAATCAAACTGTTTGATCCATCAGTAGGGACAACACTTTCCAAGATAAAAATCAACATATCAGGGAAGAAGCACATCATGGGTATGCAGAGCAATTCCTGCTGCACAAGCAAGATGAAGCCACAAGGAAAGATGTTCAAGAAAAATGATCCAAAAAAAGATGACGATCAGCAGAAAGCTTGCATGTTCACTACAAAGGAACACCAGCTGAAGAGGCATCGCTCTGCAGGCATTCCTTCTGACTCTGTCTTCCACGGTGCATCAAAACGCACAAGTCTCTCTCTCCAGCCAGCCAAGAGCTCTGGTGTTTCATATGTCTTGAATCTTCCGTCTTCATCCCCAGCACTTCACCTGCCCACCTCTACAACTTCTATTTCAACACCAGCTGCTATTCTTATTTCCTTTTCTTGAAGCTTATCATCAGGATTGCTGTCTTTTGTCAGCAACTGAGGGCCTCTGTAACACTCTGTCTTCTGATGCTACAAAATAATAGTGACCAGGCAGAGAAGCATCTCACTGCACATCATTTCCCTCCTAATTGAGTGCACTGAAGTCTATCTTGACAGGATCTGAAGGAGAATAGGAAGAAAAGGGATTACATTATCATCTGAATGGTACAAAAGCTGCTTTTCTCAAATGCAGCTGTTGAATGCAAAGACAGTGCATTACAGACTCCATTGTTAAGGCCCATATCTAATGAAACACACGACACATGCTTGCAAAACTGCACTGATGCAAGAAGCAATTTATACTTACTACATGCTTGCTTTTGTTAACAAAAACACAAAATCAAAATAACTCATCAGGAAAGAGAAAACCCTTTGCAATTACTCAACAATACCTATTTTTTAGGAAGTGATTCCAGGAGGTGCTGTTTGAGCTCCAAGTTACAAGCCAGCTTGTAGTTACAAAAGACTAATGGTAGCCATCCCCAGTAGCTGGGAACGCCTTATGCTGGTATAGGTGCTTCAACAGCGTTAAACACCATTCTCCTAATCAGCAATAGTAACTCAACATAGGTCTTCCCAAGTCTCACTTGCAGCTACGCAGGAGAATGGAACGATCCGGTTTGGGTACCGAACAGGTTTCAAGGAGGAACTCAGAAACCAGAGCGCTACCACTACCCACGAGCAGGCACCAGAGCAGTCAGCTCACTGGAGGCAAGAAGGGAAAATCCTCCCCTCGGTTCATGACAGGGTGCACATCAGCACCTGATAACTTGACTGCAGAGAGCACGTGCTCTAGCAATTTAGCAAAGGCACACAGTGCTCTCCTTCTGGGAAAGTTCTGCCCTTTGGTCTTGCTGGCATTCGCTGCCACATTCTCTGTTTTACTGGTCCCATATGTAGGCTCCAGGTGCAAGTTGCTCTGGGCGGCACAGCACGGGGACACTGGCCCTGAGCTACCCACTGCAGGGCTGCACGCTGCACCTGTCTCCCAAGCAACAACAGACAGCTGTCAGAGCAAGCACACTGCAGCTCTCCTGCTTGCACCTGATACTTCAGACAGGTCTGTTACTTTATGAGGCTTTTATCGGGACTAAGCACGCTAGCCAAGATAACTTGTACCCATTTAAGTTAGTAAAATACTCCATTTGGCTTCTTAATTAATGAAGAAGCTATTAAGAAGCCATATGTTCTCATCTGTCATTTAGTTTTCCTGTAACTCAAGTATTTGGCTGTTCAGCACAGAAGATAACAATACGGATGGGTTCTTTATTTCTACATTTACAAGGACAGCAGCAGGAAGCGGCACACGATGACACTTCTGGAGTATGCTGGGCAACAGCATGAGAGAAGATAAGAAACAGGTGTAAACCTCATGAAAGCAGAGGTTCAAAGCACTAACATCTGCTCGACAGTCACACATCTGGGCATCAGAGCTTCAGAACTAACTCCACCTCACCCCAGCTGTCCCACTACCCACAGAGAGCACCACACCACGAAACCAAGACGACTGTACCTTGCAGGGCCGAGCTGGCACCCTTGGCAGCTTATCTCCATCGGCCTGTTTGTGACTTCTGACTCTTCTTCCTCCTTTCACCCAAGCAACTCATCCAACTCCTCCAGCAAGCATCCTTACTCCAAGGTAACCCTGTGAACGGCTTGTCCTTTGGGATGAAACCTTGTGTTCTTGACTCAAATAATTCCAGACTAAATTTTGCCTTGAGACCCTCTGCGTGTGTCCTCCAGCACTCAGCATCAAGCCTTGCTCCAAGTCAGGCAAACTGTTACGCCATGGAAGGTCCAGGGCAAGTTCTCCTTCCACTCCTCTGGAAGGTGCTTGGAGGCAGCAGGTGACTCCAGCCCCCACCCGGTGGCCATCCACACTCAGGTGCAGAGAGAACCTGAGCCATGCAGTCTGCCCAGCCATCTGCTTCCAAAGAAACGACTACCAAGAAGGTTTGAACCCCGAGCACAGCACACTATACAGAAGACAAGCAAGAAGATCTCCAAGAACTGGATGGGGCCAAAGCATTTGAGAGCTCAGAGCAGGCCAGAAAAACGGGGCTACGTGTCACAAGAGGAAACAGGGAAGAAATGCTGCACCGGTACGACTGCAGTGCTTGAGACCTCCAGTCTGCGATGGGGAACGAGAGGTTAGCCAGCCCTGGGAGCACATCCTTCACCCAGCAGCTGCCGTTCGTCGTGGCATGCGTAGATACACGCAGCCACACGAAAACACTGCCGTACAACCAAGAAGCGCTCCGCTAGCAATACGAGGCCAGTCCGAGCAGCAGCGTCAGACACCGCCGCTCCTCACGTCCTGCACTTCCCGGGCCCGGCTGCAGGAGGACGGAGGAGCGCTCACCGTTCCTCCCCTCTACCTCACAGCGTCCGTCCGCGCTCGTCAGCTCCACCATCCCGAGGGATGACGGCCCTACCGGATCCCCTCGGACCGGCCCAACCCGGGGCCGGCAACCCCAGCCGCGGCCCAGCCGGAGCTCCCCGCGATCCTCCCCGCGGCGCCCGGCCCGCTCCGCGCACGCAGCGCCCGGCTGTCACCGCGCTGCCGGGCCGGGCCGGGCGCTCTCCCCTGGACGCTTCCGGAGCGGGAGAAGCGGAGAGGCCCGGCCGCTTCCCCCCCGCCGCTCCGGGCGGCACGGAGAAGGCCCGGTGCGGCCGGCGGGGCCGAGCGCCGCTCCCACTTCCCCCTCACCTTCTTCAGGGCGGGCACGAGCAGCCCCCGCCACTTGGGCGCGTTCTCCTCGCTGAAGAACTCGTAGAGCAGCGGCTGCGCCTGCATGGTGCCGCCGGGCCCGGCCCGCTCGGGGCGGCGGGCAGGGCAGGGCGGGCCGGGCTCGGCGTGGAGGAAAGGCCGCGGCGGGAGGGCTGGGCGCCCCCTCACCAGGAGGCCCGGCGGCCCCCCGCCGCCGCCGCCGCCGGCAGGCCCGCAGCGGCGGGGGGAGGCGGCGGCTGCCGCATTCCTCGCCCGGCTCTCGGTGGTCGCCCCGCGGCGCCGCGGAGGTGCGGGGGCGGCGGGAGCGGGGTCACGCGGCGCGGCGCGCGGGCCGCGAGGGGCGGGGTCGGGCGCCCGGAGCGCGAGCGCCGCCGCCTCCCCGCTCTCCGAGCTCCCCGTCCTCGCCCGCACGGTTGGCGCCCGCGGAGCATGCGCGGCGCCGGCCCGCCCCGCGCCTGCGCGCCTACAGGGGCGCCGCCGTCGCCGCGGCCCTCCTGCACGGTGGAGGTGACCTCACGCCGCCGCTCCGCCCCCGCGGGGCTGCCCCCGGTCCGCGAGGGGAGCTCGGCCGTGAGCCGCTGTACAGCTCGAGTAGCGCTGCGCGGGCGTGCAGGAGAGAGAACGCCCTTATAGAACCACAGGATCAAGACTGACCCGAGCTGGAAGGGCACGCCGGTCTTTAAGATCCTTTCCAACCCGAGCCGTCATCGGGTCATCGTTGTCATATGCGAGGATCCCACCGCCCAAACCTGATGTCTCAGAGCGGTGTACGGCAGTCCCTGAGCTCCGGCATTAGGCCTACGACTGTCCTGGGCAGCCTATTCCTGGTGCAGACCCTAATCCCCAGCTGCCCCTCCCCTCACGCAGCTCCGCGCCGTCTCCGCAGAGCAGAGCTCAGCGCTGCCCTGCGCTCCCTGTGAGGAGCTGCAGGTGCCACGAGGCCTCCCCTCAGCTCCTCTGCTCCGCACTGAGCAAACCCAGGCACCTTTGCACTCCTCACACACGTTGTCCTGCAGACCCTTCTCCATCCTCGCAGCCCTCCCGTGGACACTAATAGTTTTGTTCACCAACCAGAACCCCACTATATGTCAGCACAGCTGCTCTCCAGCCTCTCATCCTCCAGTCTGTACCTAGCTAGACTTAGGGTTGTCCAACCCAGCTGCAGAATCCAGCACTTGCACTCACTGAATTCATGCAGCTGGTGATTGCCTGGCCCTCTAATTTGTTACGATTTTTCTGCAAGGTCTCTCTGCCCTCGAGGGAAGAAACGGCTCCTCCTACTGTAATGCTGTCTGCAGATTTACTTATTGTACCTTCAAGTTTAATTGCTCCAGAGGGAGCAAGTCTGGGGGGAAGCAGCCCCCAGCCCCTCTCTCAGCCAAGTGCCCACATGCTGACTGCTCGCTCTGGCCCCAGGCCTTGCTTCTTGTGTGGCTGTTGGAGATGCAGGCAGGTGATGGTGCCTGCCTCTGGCTATCTGCTGGCAGCTTGAGACCACGGGCAGTGTTACTGCTCCTGGGGAAGCTCTGTTGCTTGTCCTTAGAAAGACACAGGCACCTCCCATGTGCTGAGATCAAGGATAAATAAACACCCTGTTCAAGCAGCCCAAGAGCAGCTTGAAGGGTGGGGGGAGAAAAAAAAGGCCAAGAAAAGCACAGCTGTAACACGAATGATGTTCCCTCTTTGTAGGGCCTGGCAGGGAAAGGATGCTGGAAATCAGATGCAGATTCACCGTGCCCTGTTCTGTAAAATGAGTCTCAGGACCAGAGAAGTCAGCCAGCTAAGCTCACAGGGAGGGTGAGAAGAATGAAACCTCTGCAGATTGCCGGAAGGATGGTTTGGGATCAGCTTCCTGGATGGGAGGAGAGTGAGGTACCCAGACAGAGCGCTTAGGCAGACTGCAGTCTCATCTTTTTCCAGAGCAGATAGCACAGACACCTGTCAGGAATGGCATGCACATGGGGAAGCTCGCTTAATTAGCATGTGAAGCGCTCTGAGGACAGGAGATGGTCCCCAGACACTGAGCAGCATTGCAGCAGACAATGGATAGAGCTTCTCCGAACTTCTTTACCCCCACAGCTCTGCCTCAGGTGATTTTCTCCAGCCAGACTCTGCTGTCTGAAGGAAGCAGACTTCTGCTTTGAACACGCTGGGATGGGGATGAAAAGAGGGAATTTTTGCCTCTCAGAGCTGGTTGCTTGGCCTAGCAGACTGCCTGCAAGTTCAGCATTGCCATCTCAGCATCTCACAGTCTGCCATATGGTGAAACATCAGTCTGTCAGCGTTTCAATCCTGCTATCAAATATGTGCAACACCGGGTGTAAAATTACACTCGTGCTTTGTCCATAAACTCTTCTAGCTGGAGATTAACATGTGAGGGCTGCGGTCCAAAATACTGCACCAAGCTGGCATGACCTGAGCTGTCAGTGTCAGGCTGGGGGTTCTGGCACAGCTTTCCTTTCTGCGAAGGACCTGGACAACCCCACTTCTTTGTTCTCTTGAAGAAGCTCCATCTGAGGAGGGATCCAGCCTTAGCTCATGTTCCAAACTAGAAAGTAGCACAGAGAAGGCAAGCTTGAGACAATCACATCTTAGCACATGCGCTCTCTCCTTTCTCTTTCCCTGTCTTCCTTGATTTTGGCAAGCAATTGCAGCTGTACATCTTTCTACCAGAAGTGCTCAACCTGAGCAAAAAGCAATTTCCCCAAGCTCCTGGTGCTCGCTGTTCAGCAGTGCCCCAGAAGCCCCAAACAGCAAGCTATGGGGCCCCAGCTGCTGCAGAAACCTAAGAGGAAGAAGCATGCTTGCACATCAGCTATGTTGTACTTGGTTAGAAGTCTGTTACTTTTTGCACGTTGAAGTGAGGAATAGTCCACAGAGGCAGGATGGAAATCCCCCTTGGGCAGCAGCAATACACAAGTGAAACACCCAGAACTTCTTGCCTTTTCTGAGAATTCAGCTTCCCGGCACCAGGGCTCGTTACCACCTCTCCCACAGGGCGGATTTGAGGTTCAGTGCAAGGGAAGAGATGGGGCCAGCAGATCCAACAAGCTATAGGCATTATACAAACAAACAGACCATCAAGAAATAGCTCAGCTGAAAAGATTACAATAAAAATCCAGTTTTGCGAGCAACAGAGGTGCACCTGATAGAGGGAGAGGTCAAGTTACTCTGAGGAAGAAATTAAACAAGCCAGAGTTTGGAAGGACATGTCCAAAATACGTATATTCATTGCCCAGGGGCACACCAGGGTAATACCGCCTACACCTAAGTGCTACTCTAAATTCAGTGGAGCTCCAGTGGTCTGACCTTTCATACATTCAGAAACGCCCAGCTTCTGTGTTCGGCACAAACATTTAATAGCAGAATTCAAGACTCAGTATGTTCCATCAGCAGATTTTAGTCTCATGTGGAAATTAGTGCATGTGGTAATCTACTTGTACAACAACATGTTAAAAAAAGTTTATTTTACATTATATACATTAGAGAACATATTTCAAAGCATTACCAATCACAACAATAATGCAGGCCATAAATCACTTTAAATTTAGTTTGGCTTTAGTGTATATTATCACAATAAAATATAAAAGAACATATACAAAAAAGGAGTCAAATGTGTGCATTTTGCTAAAACTTGGCATTTACATACTCCATTGGAAAATAGCAATCAAAAATACTTCTGATCAAAACCAAGTTCCTGTGATGCGTAGTAACCATTGTATTGTTTGAATGAGGTAGTAACTAAATTATTTTGGCCATGTGTTAACATCCTAAATCAAAGAAAGTGTGAAAATGGTTATAAGGCCAAAAAAAGTCAAAATGACATCATCTTCGAGCCATTTCCACAACGTGGAATGCTGCTGCTTTTTCACTGTGATATGAAACTACTTAGTAAGACAAACAGTAATACTAATTTTTTTTTTCCCACTGTATATGCTAGTAATTCAAACACCTACTGCAGTGTTACAGCAAGGTACCACTATTCTGGGACTGACACCCATCCAGAAAGTCTTGTTTTCAAGCACGGAGAAGTAATCGTAAAGAGAGTTTTAATTAAATATAAAACACAGGTGTCTAACTGGTTTGTTCCACAAAGAAAACTACCCGCGTAAACAAAAAAAGGGAACTCTGAAGCCCAAGTCATATCCACAAAGTCACAGCTTACCTTTGTGACTGAATACATCACATCTCAATATGTTGTGCAAACATGAACACCAGTGTGTTGCATCAGAATTAAAACAAGATTGTAATCTGATTACAGCCTTGGCTACAATTTCTAAAAGTTAAATTTATTTGTATTAGTAAATTACATATAATAAAATACAATAGTGTCGTTAAATGTACTATATTTGTTCCTAGCATCCCACTTTATAATAAACACATGACAAATCCTTAAAATAGTACCCCGATTTCATTTTTGCATCCTCAGTGACTTTTACATCTGTACAGGTAGGACACTTGTACTTAACAGGAGGACCACTATCTACAGAAAGTCAGTGTAGGTCTTCACCAAGAAGTTTCACTGAAAAATACTGCATATGTACAAAGATTACATAACAGTAAATTAAGCACTTTTGTGGCATCGTAATGCTTGTGTGTCCATACCACAAATAATCCTCGTCTTCCTCTCATGCCGTAATAAATTATAAAGTAACTGAAGTCAGGTTACTGCAGCCTTTGTGCAATTTCAGCCAGCCGTGAATGCCGCCGCAGGAGTGCTATCTTGCCAAGGTGAGCTGCTGCACACCATTCTCAGTAACTGTTCTCATGCCCAGCGAGGATATATAGATTGCTGTTGGCTGTTGGGTTATCTGTCGGCCTGCTTTCCAGCACCACGACCCTAAAACGAAAATAAAACAACCACAAAGTCAAACTGTAAGCATTCTTTCTCAGGGTGCCCATTTGAGCAGCAGTCATTTCTCTTTCC